GGGCTGATAGTGCACTGAAGTGCTGCTCTGTTTGTGGGCAAGGTGCGTCTTGTAGTACATAGAGAGGAAACGAGGATCTGACATGCTTTTGACCCTGTGGATTATTTTGAACACTATTGAGGGTTGGTTGGGCACGCCCCTGACACTGGAGAACGCGCAATGAGGACCACGCTGGCAGGAGGGCAGTCACGCGAGCACGCTTGCTCACCACGATGGCATGCATGCCTCTCTACCACTGGGAGAAGAAAAAAGACATAGTTGTCTTAGCACACTACTTGCCCACATCAAGGTATTAATCAGCCGGCCTGCCAAAAGTGCTTGGCCTCGAAGCCTCTACGCTCTACGCGCCACCACCTGCAGCTGGTGCGCTCGCCAACTTCACGGCGCGGCCAGCGCCAATTGAAATAGGACAGGTGAGAGCAAACACAGGGCGCACTGGCGTAAGGCCATTCACACCCCACTTCACTACCCACACCACAGAGCACAGGTCCTCGCTGTTCATCCACGTGCTGATCGGGATGGTGCTGGCCACAGAGACATTCGTGAGCTTCTGCTCCTCCTCCTCACTGCGGGTGGGCACGAAAAACACCTGGTGCTTGGTGGTCAGCGTGAAGTTGCCAGCCGGCCCCTCTGTATCCTCACTCATCTCGTGGTATGCCACCCCAGCACCCGGGTGGTTCACCCTCCTCTCCTGCAAAGGCAACAAAACTTGCGATTTTCAGGGCGCGGGGTCTCGGGGGATATCATTCAGAGGCGTGGATGGGAGTAGGGGGGGCGGCGGGGGAGGGAGAAGGAGGAGGGTGGACGGGGGGTGTAGTAGACGAGGAGGAGGAGGAGAAGGAGGAGGAGGATAAGGAGGAGGAGGGGTTGCGACAGCAGGATGGGTGGCCATGCACAACATCCATGGAATTGGGTCCCTCTTTAGACTGGGTGGTGGGGCGCCCCTGGACCATTGCATCTTTGACAGATTGGGGGGGTTGGCCTGCGCGGCGCGCATGGAGAAGGCAAGATGGCCCAATGTTGTTGTTCCAAGTTGTCACCAGATCCCTCCAAGACTGGTCGCAGGACTCGCCGAAGACACCCGCAAATCGACACCAGCAAATCACAGAACACTGAAGGAATTCAATGCTCTCAATTATATGGCCCGCAGAGGGTCCAAGGGGGCCCAAGTGGGCCCAGGATGGCACCGAGATGTCCCCGGGGGCGTCCAAGATGGCACCAGGAGTGCCCATGAGGGATCCCCCAACAATGATTTTGTTGATGGCTCCAGAGGGGCGAGGGTCACTGCCCCCCCCCCCCCCCACCATTCTTCGATCGATCGATCTCTTGCAGGATAATCACACGAGAGCCTCCACGGACACCATGGCGGTCCCAAGACTGAAGACCCTAGAGGCCCCTGAAAGGCCTCCAGGAGGATCCCAGGATGACCCGCAGCAGCCCCTTGAGGCACCCCTGAGGCCCCCCCGACGTCGCGAGAGCACCCCCCCCCTCCCCCAAAACAAAACGACCCCCCCAAGACGCCCCAAGAGGCCTCCAATAAGCACCTGGCAGATGCCCCAAGAGATTCCAAGAGACATCAAAGAAGCCTCTGGCCATGTTGCTCACCCTCTTCATTTCCCTATCCTCTTCATCATTCCTCATCTTGCCCCTCCTCCTTCTCCTCATCACTCAAATGTTCGTTCTTCTCCCCGCCCCCTCATCCATCCATCCACGCGCTTTCCCCTCCTTCGCGCAGATTTGGCTGCGCCCCCCGCTGCGCCCCCGCGCGTCCCTGATCACCTTCACTCACTCGGGCGCCTATTCTGGATGGGCTGGTGGGGTGCGCGAAGCGTCAGCATACATATGTACTTACCATGTGTGCATAGGAAACGACATTGTCATGCCCTCCTGTATATATACACATATATCTATATACATGCGCGCGTGCATCCATGGAATATCCACGCATATTGCGACTCACTCTCAACGTGGGCTTGAATAATAGGTTAGTAGGTGTTGGTCTGAGTAGGTCAGAGCCAATACAGGAACAATGTTGTTAGCCCGCATTATATTGACAGTGTGTGATCTGGATTCAGCACGCCCGCATTCCGAGATCATATCGTAGACAGTCCTCACCTTCGTGCCGTGCATGATGCAGACATCAGGGCCATCGATTTGGAACTTGTGATGATTTTTGTCCTTCTCAGTGACAGCCTCCTTAAACTTGCCCGGGCCAAACCCAGCGATCATGAAACCCTCCGGGAGGTTGATTCCCCCTCTTCTTTTTCTTTTTGTTTTTTTTTTTTTTTTTTTTTTTTTTTTTTTTTTTTTTTTTTTTTTTTTTTTTTTTTTTTTTTTTTTTTTTTTTTTTTTTTTTTTTTTCTTTTTTGTTTTTTTTTTTATTTCTCCCCGTTCATTAGGGAGCCCAACCTTGTTTTTTTTATGTCTCTGGTCTTCGTTTTGGTTTCCCATGAGGCTGAGAAGAGAGCGGTTTTGTTTTTTACTTCTGATAGCTTGAACGGAAGCGATCTCCGGTCTGGGCCTCTCGCGTCGGAATGAGTCTGATCACGTCTTGAGCTGACGGGGGGCAGCGCTCCCACTTCGGGGTAGGGCGGGGTATAGGACGAGAGAAAGGAGGGAGGGAGACATGGAGAGAGAGAGAGAAGAGAGAGAGAGAGAGGAGAGAGAGAGAGAGAGAGAGAGAGAGAGAGAGAGAGAGAGGGAGAGGGAGAGAGAGAGATGAGGGAGAGGGAGAGAGAGAGAGGGAGAGGGAAATCAAAAAAGGGGGAAGAAACGAGGGGGGACGTGGTGGGCTGGAGGAGGAGGGCAGAGGATAAGCTGGAAAAAAAAGAGGGAGAGGAGGATAGATATCAGAGGGACGAGGTGGTCTCGCGCAAACCTCCTGATCTTGAGGCGTCGCTGTTGTTGTCCCCATCCGCTGTTACCTCAGCCGGCCCCTCTTCCTGCCAATATTTGTCTCCCCTGTCCTCGCCGCCCTCGCCATCGACGCCAGCCCCTCCCCCGCGCTGCCCTCCCCTCCATCCCTCTCCTTCTCCTTCTCATCCTCCTCCTCCTCCTCCTCCTTATCCTCCTCCTCCTGCTCCTCCTCCTCCTCCTTCTCCTCTCTTCCTCCTCTCATCCTCCTCATGCGCCTCCCTCTCCTCTGTCACCCCCGTCGCCCTTCCCTATATCCACCTCCTCCTCATCGCCCCTCCCCTCTTCTATTTTCACTTACTTGTTGCTGCTACTACAGTTGCCCAGGGTGGAGGTTTTCAAACGCCCAAATGCCTTCTTGGCAGTGGAACCCCCATCACCAGCAGAGTTGACCCTCTTCTTCACCGGCGTCTGCTGGTTCGAGTCGTCCTCCATGCTCGCTGAGAAATTCCCAAACTCGCTGTAGAAGGCCTGCAACTTCGTCTGAAACTCCTCGCCAAACTCTGCGTGGGTCGCCCACTGCTTGATGAAGTCTGCTGGCATCGACAACTTCTTCACTCCTTGAACTGATACTGCAACCAGCTTGTTCAATGGAGGGGCTGCTGGCGGGTCCTCGAGCAAGTTCTGCGGCATCTCTACTGGCAGCGGGGCGATCGCGCCCGGTAGCTTCTCGTTGAGGTGGAGGTCTGCAGCCATCGCCATTTTGTTGTGCATTAGCCAGTCGTAGTGTGTGGAATCGTCCGTCATCGCGATGTAGTAAGCAGGAAAGTTCCACCCAGACCGAGCTGTGACAAAGGCATCGAACATGTTGCCCACATGAGGGTTCACTTCCCAGAATAGCACAGCGTGGCGATTGTCGATGGAAGTTCCATCCAGCATGCTCTCGATCAACTTCAGCATGCCATCAGCCCCAATCTGCGAGACTTTATTAGCGCCCTTCACGCAGGCATCGCTGTCTGTAGTGCTTGGGAGCGCCTTAGGATCCACATCCTCCACAGACTGCAACATGCTACCTTTGACCATGGTGGCTGCCTCTGTCTTCCCTTGCATGATGCTCGCATCTTTGAAGAAATACTCGCTGTCCTTGACACCAAATGGCGTAACAATGCGCCCGTCATAGATCAGGAGGCGCCCGTCCCTCATGTCTGTGCGTTCCTTGAACACCAAGCCAAACTTCTTGTCGAAGTCGAGGCTGCGCTTGATGAGATGCTGATTCACCATCTTCTCTGCGAGGTAGAGCTGGCCTTTTTTGTAAGAGAACTGCGGGTTGAGGACCACTGCGATGGACTTCTCCCCAGACGTCGCAATGGCGCTTAACATGTTGGCCTGATTTTCGAAGGCCTGTGAGCTGATCGTAGTGGGGGCCGTCCAGTTCGCGACGCCTATGACGATGATGTCCTTCTCGTTGATGTGGTGCTTGGAAGCCATTTCTGCCTTCTTCGTGGCTAGCTCTTTGTAAATGGCGTCCGTAGTAGGCTCTGAAATGATTTTGCAGTACTGCGTCATGAACTCCTTCGCAGCCTTCTCGCTGAGCTTGTGGCGCTTCAGGTTGTACTCCTGCTTCTTGCTCCAAATGGCCTTCTCGTAGTTCCTCGCCTTGGACTCGTAAACCCTGAACACCTGGCAGTCGTATTCCATGTGTTTGAGGCCCAGCTTGAACTCCGACAGTTGCAAGTCAGCAGACTGCTGTCTCACGTGCCGCTCCTGGGCGCAGACTCGGAAAAACGCAATACCAAGCATGCTACATCTGAAATCATTGCCCCCAAACAGCACTTGCACTTCGGGGTTCTTATTCGCCCATCCGGCTGTTGTTCATTACGTTGCTTTGCTTGGCTTCGCGTCGCTTCAATTTACTTTGCTTTGATTTGCTGTTGCGTTGCTCTGCTGTGCTTTGGTTTGCTGTCATTTGCGTTGCGTTACTTTGATTTTGCTATGTGTTGCTTTGCTTAGCTTTGTTGTTGCTGCTTTTTGCTTAGCTGAGTAGCGTTGCTTTGCTTTACTTGACTGCAAACAAAGAGATGGCACAACGCATACTGCAATAACCTACTGTTTGGAGCCCACACTGGGAACTATGTATGATTAGGTGCCTAACTGGAATCCTCCAGGCTGATGTCCATGTCTGCCACCCCAGAGCCACTCAACGCGATGTCCAAGATCTCCTGTAGGAGCACGAAAACCCCACTAGACCATCGAGGGCCCCCCATTGGACAAATGTGAATATCACCCCCATACAGGGCCCCGCAAAACAAAGGGGGCATCACAATTCCTAAATCCCATGGTGCGAGCTCCTTCAGACACGTGATATCGCGAATGGTGAACTCATCGCGCTTCTCAGCCAGGGCAGAGGCCAAGTCCATCTCCACGCGAGGGTCCCCAAGGCGCCATTTATCCACAAATGCAGCGTCTACCTGCTCAGCAGACATGCCTGCGTTCACTGCCTCAGTGCGGATCGCGCAGATCACAGCTGCTTTCTCTGCGAACTCCTCCAGGTCCATCTTGGAAAACTTACGACGCGCCAAGGGGTTAGTGGTATCGAACTGGTGGAAGCAGTGCTGGAACATCAGGTGGCGCGACTCTGTAGTGATATGCTGACGCTGCGTCCACTTCTTCGAATGCGTCGTCCTGAACCCCGAGCCCGGCCATACCTTTTTGGACGCCAACGCCTCTTCACTCAGACTACCCCCATCCCAATCGTACTTCGAGATGTGCTGGATCAAGAGCTCCTGGGTCTTCGGGGGGCCAAGGTGCATGATGTTCTTGACTGTCTGGGCCTTATTACCCATCAGCTTCTCCTTCTGAGTGCAGCCAGAATTCCAGCTCCTGATGATCGCACCTGCGTCTGTATCCCCACAGTCGCGCTGCCGGGAAAGGAGCACCACCCAACTGACCACGTTCGCTTGGCGCCTCACCGCCCCACGCGCACTCAACTTAAAGTTGTCAAAAGTCTGCTCCTTCAAAGACGCGAACTCGACATTGCGAACCTTGATCGCACGCAAGGAATTCCAAATCTTGGGCGAGATGGCATGGAGGTCGACCTCGTCGTCGATCAGCAACGTCAAGAGGAAGTGCATTGTCGCAATGCGGGCGTTGCCTTTATGTTGGGCGATCGAGAAGGGCGGGATTGGGAAATCGTTGCCCGCCACGGCCCACGGTGCCTGCACACCCTCGAGGCCCCTGCTGCGGATCTTGTCCTCGGTCCCAGAGCACAGGATGATGGGGTCGCCCTCTGTGATGAAACCGTCGGTTAGTACGTGGTCGAGCAAGGCCAAGGCTGTGCTCGCGCGAGTGGGCTCGCGCGGCGAGTACGAGGGGTCGAAGGACATGGCCCCCGGGTGCACGCAGAATTGTTGCGTGGATACAGGGAAAGGGAACGACATCTCGTAGACACAGGTGTCCAAAGGGGGCAGGTACTGGTGGAGCCTCTTACTGTACGCGTTTAAGCTCTCAGGATCACTGTAGCGGTGCATCAAGTATTGCATGGGCCCATGGAAATCATTCATAATCTTCGTGGCTGCCCCCAGCACGACGTCGCGAAACTCCTGGCTTGAAACCGACTGCTGGTTCATCAGGCTCATCGTTGAACCAGGCGCGGCTTGCTGGCCCAGGCCGCCAGGTGCCACCGATGAGTTGTCGCGCAGGCCCCACGCCGCATCTGCTGAGTACGCAGACTGTCCAGTGGGGGACCCTGGGATAGTATCTGGGAGAGTATCTGAGATAGTTTCCGCGTCGAAGTCCATGGCAATCTGCTGTCAGTGTGATCCAACTGGTAGCAGTAAGAGTAGGTAGTTACACGTCGTGGGACAACCTCGAGGCTTCAAGCCAAAGCCCAAATGGCTACATGGAGCCTACCTGGTGGGGGCCAGGTCGAAATGCCCCTGACACACTAGCAGGGTGGTGCCACGCATTTAACTTCGCACCCCGTTGCGTCACCATCGCAGCGCCCCAGGCCCCCCCTGGCCGAGCCATCAAGAGGGACACGCCACGCAGTTAACTTCGCGCCCCATGGTGTCACCAGGATATCCCAGCAGAGACCTGAGAACACAAACGAGATTCAGATGCGGCAGCTGCACCTCAAGCATAACGCTCGCTATTGGACAACAAGAAACAACAATACTCCTCCTTACCTCCTCGCTCCCGCCCCTGATCCTCCTCCTCCTCCTCCTCCTCGCGCAATGTTTAGATGCGGCATTCTCCCCGGGTGGTGCAAGTGTTTTTTTTTTTTTTGGGGGGGGTCCTCTTCTTTCCAATATCCTTCTTAGGGAGGGGTCTGCCCCTCCCCCTACCCCCTCCCCTGGGCCTGGACGGGGGCAGTCGCCAGTAGTTAGAGTGTAGTATGAGATGGCCCAAGATGGCTCCAAGAGCGCATTGGAGAGCCCAAGATATCTTCCAAGATGACCTCCAAGATGCCTCAATATAGTCCTCGAACCTCGACCCTCGGCGGCCGCCAGTTCCAAAATGAGCCCCCATGGGCCCCTCCAGGGGTCCAAGAGCACCAGTTCTCCAAGCTGCGTCCAGCCGTGGCGACGAGGAAAGCCCCCGAAGGCCAGGGCCCTCTGACCTCCTCGGTCCTCGAGGGTCGATCCTCCCAAGATGGCCCAAGATGGCCCAAGATAGCATAGGCTCCGTGGCCATTTAGCTCAGACCAGCAATTTTGTATTTTGGCGATTGTTGGTGGGCTGAGTGCACGCGACGATGCGCGCAACCAGCTCCCAAGATGACATGGAGGTAACCAAGCCGTATGAAAAGCTCATTCTCTCAGATTTGGAACAACAACCAAGGCCCTCAGAAGGCACTAGCGATAGTCATCCCGAAGTCAAGTTGTTTCGAGACACGCTCATACACACTTGTGATCTATGCAACGATGGCGCCAAAGGACCATTCTTCACCATAAGTGGGCTCCCAACCAGTTCGGATAAGTTCACGACATACGACAAAATGATGTTCAATGATCAAGTATTGCAGTATGGATTAGTATTCTGGGGCTCGCCCCACTGGGGGGAAACATCCGAAGACAATTGGAACAAATGGGAGAGTTCAGGTCAATTCAAAACGAACGCGATGGAAAGCATGAGTTGGCATAGCCCCAGGGCACTTTGCGTAATGACATTCAGCGAAGACTACAAAGTGGAGTTCTGGTCGCCATTCTACAATAATGATAAGAACACTCCAGACATTAGAGTCCCAAGGAAATTGGAGATATGCCAGGCCTATTTCAGACGTTACCATCCATTAATGAGCGGCAAGGAATTGCACAAAGTTCATGGCACAAAAAGGGTAATGGTTGCAATGCTCGTGCCAGATAGGTTTAGACACTGTGTAACTTTTCACAATGATAACTCTTGCATCGTGGACGTGGGGGCGACTATGCTCAATACGTTAGAAGCGCTCGGCGTGGATGAGTGGGCGATCGAGCTAGGGGGCCAATCGTTTTCACTAGCATACGAAATCCATCTAGCCAGGATGGAAAGGGAGAATCCTACGTCGAGGTGGCCACCAGCCTAATGGATGTCAAGATTCATTCGAGGAAAAATTATGTTCAACATTCAATGCAGTGGCCCCCGCTCTGATGGATTTCAAGATTCATTCGAGGATACCATATGGTGTTCCACATTCAACGCAGTAGGCGGTTCATTCGAGAATATATGCATGGTGTTCAATCATTCAATGCAGCTACACGTACGTCCAAAGCGAGAACAGATGTTGCTCCACATTCATCAATGCAATGCAATAGAATGCAGTAGTAGCGAATCCATAGGAAATCAGCTGGTGCGCATTGTCGCGCTCGCCCGCCAACAGGGCGCACATAGTGTTGCGCTCTGTAATTGATCATATGGAATGCCGCGCTGGACGCGGCCCACTAGCTCGCTCAAAAATCATCGCCGGAAGCCCTCCCTGCAAATCCAGACGCGCTAGTTTTCCGAGCTGTGTCCAGCCGTGGCGACGAGGGGCGACGAGCAGGGACCCAGAGGCCCGCAAGCCTCGAACATCGATCATCCAAACACGATCCTCGATCCTGAGAACGACGACGATCATGACGACGACGACGACGACGACGACGACCGCCGCGACGACGACGACGACGACGACGATGATGGCGATTGCTGCGACGACCACGACGACGACGTCGGCGTCGACGACGACGACAGTGGCGGTCTTTGGGTGCCCTCGGATCGTGGCCTTCGGCGGCCTCCCCTTCATCGTGTTCCCGTCTCCCTCCTCCTTCTCCTCCTCCTCCTCCTCCTCCCCCTCATCGTCGCTTCAGGCTTTGGTCGTCGTCGTCGTGGTGGTGGTCGTCGTCGTCATCGTCGTAGTCGTCATCGTCGTCGTGGTCGTGGTCGTCGTCGTCGTGGTCGTCGTCTTGGGTGTCGTCGTCGTCGAGGCGGTCGTCGTCGTCGTCGTCGTCGTCATCGTCGTCGTCGTGGTCGTCGTCGTCGTCGCGATCGCGGCGGTGGTCGTCGTCGTCCTCCACCCTCCTCCCAGAACGCCCCCGGCGAGGCGCGGCCTGCTCCGAGAGCCAACGAGAGCTTCCGAAGGCGTCGAATCTCGATCGCCCACCACGGCTGTTAAAACTCGGCCCTGCTGGGGCCCATCCAGGGGTGCGTTTGGGCCAGAATTTGGGGCGGACCCAGCTGTGGCGACGACGAGCGCGATGGGGGACAGGGTGGGATAGGAGGGGGGAGAAGGGGGAGGACGGGGCCAGATTGGGAGGATGAGGAGGAGGGCGCAGCAGCACAACAGTCAACAATGCGGGTTGGAATCCACTAGCCGCCGCACTCGGCGCACCAGAGCAAGGCGAATGGCAGGGGCGCCCCCTGGATCACAAGGCGCAACATGCACTAAACTACTTGTGTCGCTACTACTGCCTCGAAGTCGAAAAGGATGAGGCCTTGGCCAGTGCTTACTCACAGGCGATCTCATTCTAGTGCTAGTTGATGGGGTCCTTCCACGAATCTCATCTAATGCTGCCTCAGTCTCCATGTCGTTTTTCTTCAAGGCCCTCCTGTCGGCCTCCCGCTCTTCCCTATCAACTTCCTCAGCCCACTGCTTCTCCTCGCGCCGCTGCCTCTTGCGCCGCGCCTCCTCTGACTCCATGTTGGACTCGTCCTCCTCATCAGTTTCCTCTTCTTCCTCAGATTCCTCCTCTGCCTCCTCCAGTGCCGCGATCTCGCTGTCCACGCAATGCTCAGTGCCCGCATCCTCCTCCTCATCGTCCTCCTGCGCGCTGTCTCGCTCTTCCTCCACCTCCTCCTCCTCCTCCTCCTCCTCCTTCTCCTCTTCCTCTTCCTCTTTCTCCTTTTCCTTCTCGCCCTCCTCGTCTCTAGCATCACTCTGCTCTGCCTCACCTCTGCATGGGCGGCGCGCGAAGAAAGTGGCCGGGAGTATGCGCGCCCCCATGTGCCTACCTCCTCGGCTTGAAAGAGAGTTATGGATTGCCTGCGCGCGTAAACGTTAGCCAACAGCAGCGTGGCCCCCAAACAGTGGTTCCCAGCATAATACTAACGAAGTGATGCAATCTATATGGTGCAAGTGGCGCGGGACAATGAATGCCAATTGAGTGGAGATGATGGTCAGAAGGCGCGGCGACAGGTGGCTGTCATCCCAATATGGCTAAACCAAGTAAGATCACCTAAGTGCAAGCACGACTACTGTTTGGGAAAAGTTGTGCTGGGGGCAAATTGTTCCCCTCCTACCATTATCCCCATTCATCCCCCCCCTCCTTCTCATCCTCCTCCGCCCTTCCCCCCCCTCCTCCTCATCCATGATTCTCCTCCTTCCCCACTTCCTTCTCCCTCCTCGAGGTGGCGCCCCACCAGGGGCTCGAGATCCCCCGGCCTCAGGTGACGGGGGCTGGAGATCCGCTGGCCTCGGGCGGCGGGAGCTGGAGATCCGCCGGCCCCAGGTGGTGGGAGTTGGAGATCCGCCGGCCAGTTCCAGAAGATTTCCATATCATATATCGCGACCCCGAGATCTTCCGGTTTCAGCTGAACCCCGAAGTCCTAGGCGCCTCCCCGAGGGCCAGAAGATCGCGCCATCATGATTCGTGCATCGGCGTTCCGCTGCTGACCCCCATAGGGCCCAAGATCTTCCGGTGTCAGCTGAAACCCGAAGTCCTCACTTGCACGTTTTGGTTGTTTGAGTTCCGCTGGATGCAGTCGCACCTCGACGAAATTGCAGGACGCGACCTTCAAATGAGGAGGGGCCATGATGAGTGGTCTGAGCATGAGTGAGTCTGGGGCTCAACGACCCAGCAGCACGGGGCCATGAGCGGTCTGAGTATGAGTGGGCTTGAGTGCGAGTGATGAGTCCGAGTGCGCACAACAACCAAGAGGAGGGGGGAGGGGGGGAGTGAAGCCAGAGGGCTGCTAATCCCAATTGGAGCGTGATTGTTTTGCATTGCGTTGCCCTGCATGTGCATGTGATTTACATTCGCTACATTGCATTGCTTGGCACTGGTGTGCACATTACTTTGTGCATTGCGAGTTGCACGTGTAAGTTTGCATCGCATTGCGATTTGCATGTGTAAGTTTACGTGATGGCCCGAGACATTGCAGCATCGCATTTGCATTTGCACAGAACACAGAATGGGCGGAATGGGCCCAACCTGGTCGTTCGATAAAGTTCGCTAGGTTCATGACCGTAGTCGTTTTGGCTCAAGCAGCTCAAGCAGCATTGTTTCAGCCATGGCGCAGCAGCGGCGCGCGTGGCTGCTGGAGTCGCCACCGCCCATGAGGCTGCAGGAGGACAGGTGGCGGCGGGATGCTCGACCACCGCCTAAAGGACTCTTCAGCCCGCTGTCTTCGAGCCAAAGCCGAAGCCCCCCTCCTAGGAGAGGGCCTGGACAGGAGGGGGGTGGCAGCAGTCTTGGAGGCCAACAAGTGGACACTCCTCCTGGCGCCGACGATGATGTCATAGTAGTTGCGGCTTGCAGCGACGGGGAACGACCTGGCCTTTTGGCGCCATCATCTTCACCATCATCGGCCACCACTACCAGTGACATGACAGCATGGCCGCAGCTTGCAGCGACAGCAGGCGCAGCACCATCATCATCATCAGCATGGACATCATCAGCTGGTGGGGAGACAGCACAGCCACGGCGCGCGACGACAACCAGGGCGCGCATCAGCAGCCTCCACCCTGGAGGCCTGCAGGGGGCAAGCGCTGGTGGGCAGCAGGAGGTGCTGGGGCCAACTGCTGAGCACTCTCCTCCTGGAGGCGCGGTGGTGGTGTTGGAGGGCGCCGGGGGCCTGCTGGCAGTGGACGTTGCCGCTGCCGGGGCGGCAGCGGACGCTGGGGGCCTCATCGAGGGAGGAGTGGAGGGCGATGCTGGAATGGCGGCGGCGGGCGCTGGAGGAGGCATCCTCCTGCAGGTGGCGGGCGCTGGCGGGGCGGCTGCGGCGGGCGCTGGGGGCTTGGGCGCAGCGGGCGGCGCCGGAGCGGCGGCGGACGCTGCTACTGGCAGCCAGCAGGCGGTAGGCGCTGGCGGGGTGGCTGTTGTGGGCGCTGGAGGCCTGCAGGTGGCGGCGGTTGCTGCTGCTGAGGCGCCGGTGGATGCTGGGGGCTGGCGGGTGGACGCCAGCCCTGTTGCTGCTGCGCTCTCGAAGCCAGCTGCAACCCCAACGAAGCTGGCGCGATCGCCAGGCTGCCCGCTGTTGCCCAATGATCGCGATGGTCCTCCTCCTTTTCTCGCGGGATGGCCCACTGCAGTGCCGCGCTGGGCGCCGGCGCCATCGCCAGAGGAGCGCCAACGCATCCTTTGGGCGATGGCGCGCGAGGACGCGGAGGACGTCGCCCAGAAAGCTGCCGCGCAGCACCCCGAGTTAATAGAGGTGTGGAGCCCGCTGCTGGACATTCACCCAGATGCCCTGCTTCGCCGCGTCATGAACTACTTGCCACGTGGGGAGTATGGATCGGCGTACGTGGGGTCCACCAGCGACCCCGCGTGGCGGTGGGAAGGTGGATTGTGCTGGCGATGCGAGCGGAACGTGCGCGCTCCACGGTTGCTGCCCACTCACATGGTGGGCCACAAAGTTAGGTGGAAAAAAATGTTCGCGATCGCAAGCTTCTCAGACAAACGGACAGCGGCTGCCGAGGAGTTTGTGTTGAAGACATTGCATGGTCGAGAGTGCCTGGCGAACGTCGCTACCGACGCCTGCGGCTTGCACATCAGACCAGTGCCTGCATGCAGTTTCATCTATGTGTGCACAGATTGAAAAACATCGTCATCATCATCGCCATCATCATCATTATCATCATTAGTATTCTCAGCGCGTGCCCCAAACAGTATGCCATTGCATTCTGCACGAAGCACTGCATGTTGAGCAGGAACAAGTTCATATATATATCCATATATATATATATATATAAAGAACAGCAAATCTTATAAAAGCAAAAGCAACCATGGCAAACCAACTGTAAAGAACATCGAAGCAAAGCAAAGCAACGCACAGCAAACGCAAAGCAAACCAAAGTAACAACACGAAGTCAGGTGCCGGCATGGATTGCATGGTGGCTGGTGAGAGCCAGGAGGGCTAGCCCCCGCATGGTTAACGCAAGTGCGACCCCCCATGCTAAGCACTGTTTGAGGAATCTTTATTACATCGTCGTCGTTGCTGCGCTGCCGAGGGGGGAGCCATCGTTCCCCCCCATCTGCTGTCCTCCTCCTCCCCTCCCCTTCCCATCCCTCTTAGTCTTCTCCCCCCTCCCGTCGCGCGCGGGCAGCGCGCGCGGCGGGCAGCCCGCCTGCTCGCGGTGCATGGGGTCGACGAGGGGGGGCGCGGCAGCAGGCGCGAAAGAAAGAAGAGACCCTGGAGCGATGGGGGCGTTAGTTGGCCAAAGATACCCGCTAACCCATGGGCGGGGGCCCCCCTGGAATGCCCGCCCACCACCCTTGCTGACAAGCTCGGAACAATTCCCCCCCGCAGTGGCTGACGCCCACACCGCTCCTCTGCCCCGCAGCCCCCCAGCCGCCGGCCGGCCAACGTTCGCTACTGATTGATTGATGAAGCGTCGTGCGTGCCAACGCTCGCAGCTGACTGAAGCGTCTACGTTTGTGTTGAGGCTCTCTCTTTCTTTCTCTCTCTGCTGTCTCTCTCTCTCTCTCTCTCTCTCTCTCTCTCTCTCTCTCTCTCTCTCTCTCTCTCTCTCTCTCTCTCTCTCTCTCTCTCTCTCTCTCTCTCTCTTCTCTCTCTCTCTCTCTCTCTCTCTCTCTCTCTCTCTCTCTCTCTCTCTCTCTCTCTCTCTCTCTCGCTCTCTCTCTCTTCTCTCTCTCTCTCTCTCTCTCTCTCTCTCTCTCTCTCTCTTCTCTCTCTCTCTCTCTCTCTCTCTCTCTCTCTCTCTCTCTCTCTCTCTCTCTCTCTCTCTCTCTCTCTCTCTCTCTTCTCTCTCTCTTTCCCCTCTCTCTCGTTATTTCTCTACTTCTGCGCATTGCTGCGGGCAGGCCCCCCGTCAGCTGAGCCCCAGAGCTCCAGAGGCGCCCCTCCAGGCCATCCACCGCGCTTGCAACGCGATGACAGGGAGATTGGAGAGGAGGGATTGGAGTCAGGGAGGCGGAGGAGGAAGAGGTAAATGAGGACTGACAGGAGATTGAATTATGGAGGAGGAGGTTGGGGCGCTATCAGAGAGAAGGGGCGCGGATGGAAGAAGGACGGGGCCAAACTAAATCATCGTGCAGAGCACGCTGCAATAAGTCACCCTCAGTCAGCAGAGCATCGGCTGTCACGCGCGCCACGTGGCTGAGCTGTGCAAGAGGCGCGCTGGGCAGAGGGGAGAGAACTCACAGTTCTGATATGGCCTCTGCGATGGCCTCGCACAAAGGGTCAGGGTACTTCTGAGCCCACCTCGACAGTTTGATGTTCCCCTCCATGCCCTCGATCGTTTTGTGCTTGCAGTGGGTCCCCCGGCACGTCTTGTTCGACATCTTGGGGACCAGCGCATCCACGTTAGTCAAGAAAACCGTTGTTTTTTTGAGGGGCACCTTCTCGATTGGGGAGACCATGCCGAACATGCACATGTCGAACTTGATTTTTTTCATTCCAGGTCGTTGGCTGAGGGCCACGATCTCTGGGTGTTGCCAACTCAGCGCGCGAAACGGGTGTTCAAAGATCACGTATCGCCCCTCGGTGATTTGCATGTCCATGAGAAGGCAACAGAACTCTAGAAATTGTAAAGCTTGCACGAACTGGTTCTCACGCGATAGCTTGTCCATCCTAAACCAGTTGCTCGCCATGACACAACTGAAGAACGTGCAAGGAGGAGACAATATCATGACCCGTGGTTTGCGAGCCTTCACATGTGCAACTAAATTCTGTCTCATGTAATGCGTTCCCAGGTCCCATCCTGTTTCGAGATCTGCTGATACCGAGCATTTGAAACCCATGTCATGTACTTTTTTCGCAACTCGGGGTGGGCTGAAAATCTCCATCGCATCATCTTGAAAGTCAACGTGCGTTGCTCTCAAAGCTTGCACGTTCCATAGTACAGGGTCCCTGGGCTTGATGATGCCAGCTTTTGATTGCATCAACTCGCTCCTCGATGCCCCTGGGTATGTAGTGAACTTACGCTTTTTGCCGACTTGTTGTTTCGAAGTTGATTGTTGAGCCCCCCCCCTGCGGTAGCTGCTCGTGCAAATAGTGGCAATGTCTGAAGCCACATCTACATCATCATCAGATGGGAGGGCAACGCCATCGTAATCTTCACCACAATCGCCATCTTCCACATCAGAGGGAAGTGCATATGTTGAAGAAGCTGCCATTACGCGCAGCGTGCGCTCGAGCCTTATGCAGTGCAGCCCCCTGACAACGGCGACGACGATGGCGATCGTGACAGGGCTCCATTTAGAAGGTGCCGCCCTCCATCCACGTGAACGCCAGATCTACTTGGCGATTGGGGTTGGCGCGTTGTGAGGATGTCTGAAGCGAAGGGCATCGAAATCGTCGACAGCCCTATTTTTGAAATGGGCAAGGGAGAGGGGGCCTCTCGCAGGCCACCAAATGGGCCCGCGCTGCAGGATCGGGATTTCCTATCAGAGCCCCCCGAGCCTCAACGAGGCAGTCGCATGAAGCTGCCAGATCCCCTAACAAGCCTCCAAGAAGGCCCTAGGATGCCCCCCCAAGAAACACCAGGAGACCCGAGGGAGCAGCCATGAGGCATTCAAACATCCAAACACTTCCTGGGAGGGGGCAGACCTCAATATCAACATATGTACCTGAAACAAACACGTCCAAGCTGAGGCGCAGCAAGTGGGGGGGGGGCGCACCTAAGCAAATGCGGGGGCTCCACCTGTTGCAACGAGTGGGCGACGAGACGGAGAGGGCGGAGGAGAAAGAGTAGGGGGAGGAGGAGGTGGAGGGGGAGGGGGAGGGGGTGGGGGAGGAGGAGGAGGAGGAGGAGGAGGAGACAGCAGGGCGGACACAAGCAACTGGTGGCGGAGTGCCCAATGCCCTCCAAACTCACATGTACTCCTGCTTTTCGCTCTCTTCTTCCTCCTTATCTTCATTCCTCTTTCTCTTATCTCCTCCTGCTCCTTTTCCCCAGGCGCGCTGAGTTGCGACGAGGGGGGTTAGACCTCGACCCTTCTCCCTGCATGCATTGCTCCATCTCATCCCGGCAATAGCACGCTGCCTGCCGCGCAGGCCCTAGTCCCCGGGAGGTTCATCATCCTCCTCCACGGGGGAGACAAAAAACTAAGAAAATGCCTGCTGGCGCTCCGCAAGCAACCCTTCAGCTGATAGGGGATAGGATGGGGGGGGGAGATCAGGGCTGCCCAGGCCTCCCGCGCCGGAAGTCTAAAGGGACCCTCGGTCCCAACAGCGTGCTACTATTGCTGCTGCAGCGGCCCAGATGAGGATGGCAAGCCGGGGCCCTAATGCCGAAGGCCGCTGCAGCCGAAGCAGCACAAAGCCGAGGGGGGGAGAGAAGGAAGGGGGAGAGAGGATATGGAGGGATGGAAAAGAAGATCGAGCACGCTATATAAGCGCGCTGCTGCTGCTGCTGCTTCCCACCAGGCCCCAGCCGCGCAAACATCAGCAGCGCGGTCCAGCGCAGGCAGAAGCACGCTATGATATCAGCACGCAGGCTCCACCATCAAGCTCTCAGGGCAGCTGCGCTAATCAGCGCGCTGCCTGCTTGGACAGGTAGGCGGTGTGAGAGCAGGTGATAAAGAGCATCAGTTTTCTTATCCTCCACCTCCCCCTCCTTATGCGCGCCTCCTAGTGCTCGTCATTGGTTCCTCCTCCTCCTTCTCCTCTTCCCCCTCTTCCCCCTCTTCCCCCTCTTCCTCCTCCTCCTCCTCCTCCTCCTCCTCCTCCTACTAAGTCACCCCCTCCTCCACAAAAAACTAACACTCAAGCACCGCGGCCAGGGCCTGCCGAGGCCGGCCTCTTCCGAACCGCCTTCGGAGTACCACCGCGCGCTTTGCAGCCATTCGGCAGAAAGCGGCATTTCGAGCATCCCAGAACAGGTGCAGGCAATGAAACAACGCCGCCACCCTCTGCTGGCTGCGGGGGCAGTGGCGGCGGTCCTGCATCGACCGCTGCTGGCGGCCCCTCTGCCGGCTCATCTTCACCTGCTGGCGCGCCGAGCGTCTCCGCGTCCCCGTCCTCATCGGGCTTCTCTGCGTACTCGCCACTGTCCACCGCCGCACTCGGGGCTGCGCGCCCCTGCCCGCGGCCCCCTCCTCCACGCCCGCGCCCGCGGCCTCCGCGGCCACCGCGGCCCGCCTGATCATCATCGGCGTTGCGGCCGCGACCTCGAAGGGTGCGATCTAACAATCGCACGCCTCCTCCTTCTCCCCCTGCTGGCCCTCCTGCTGCTCCTCCTCACTTTCCACCTCCACCTCCTCCATGCCCACCTTCCAGGTCTTCAAATTCGCATCGCAATGTTGGCCCAAATATGTCGGCGTCCAGGAGCCAGTTCCGCTGCTCCTGGATTTCCCCTCCTCCACTTCCTCCCCCTCCCCCTCTGCTTCTCCCTTCAAACTAACGGAGGGGCCACTGGCGGGGAGGGTGGGTGAGCGGGGAATTTCTCGCCATGATGTCCCCACCGCGTCCACGTCCACCACGCCCACCGCGTCCACCAGAGGGTTCTGGTTTGCGCTCAGCAACTTCAATAAGTGTAGGCTTACCCGGCGCGTACTTTTGCCACTCCAATTCCAGGGGCTTGTCTTTCCAGAGGGGGATGGAGTTCTGCGTGGTCACTACCCACCCCGGTGGCACTGGGTTTGGGATCTCGCCTGCCTTATTAGCCTCGCACCACATAGTGAGATAAGCAGCTGCCTCCTTCATGTTCCACGGGCTCTTCGTGATCGCAATTGCTGTCTTCGTAAATCCAATTAGCCCCCTGGGCGTAGGTGGTTTAAGGAGTTTCCTCTTCCAACCTCTTCCTTCTTCCCCTCCCCTCCATTCCCTGGACCTGGGCGGGCGGGGGGGGGGGGGGGGCGCGTTGGAGCGCCCAAGACAGCCCAAGATGGTTCCAATATTGACATCCAAGATGGCTCAAGCTAGCCTAGGATGCCCCAAGATGGCTCCGAAGATTCTCCAAGAGGCCCCAAGGCTGCCCCAGGATGGCCCCAGGAGGCCAGCAAATCGCTTCCCAAGGAGGCCCCCAAGAAGCCAACATCTTTCAAAAGCTCATGGAAAACTCATTTGTCGCCTTCCTGCACTTTCGCTTCGGATGGCCATCCGAGGCCTCCAGATGGCTCCAATATGATGGCCCCGGGGGCCCCGCGAGGGGCCCAAGAAAGCCCCAAGACAGCCCCGAGAAGAGCGCCCAAGATCGCTTCAAGAGCACCGCCCCAAGAGGGGCCCAGGAAGCGATTTGTTCAACAGCTCTAGAGGAGGGGTGGCGCTATTTTAGGAACCCCTCTTCTTTGATCGATCGCCTCCAAGATGGCCTGAAGAGGCGCGCGGGAGGCCCCGAGAGGCGCTGAGATGGCCCCAGCATGGGCCCCATGGCCCCAAGAGGGCCCCAAGGCAGCCCCAAGCAGCCCCCAAAGGCCCCCTGAGGCACTCAAGGCGCCCAAGAGCCCCCAGGACCACCAAGAGACCCCCGAGATGCCTCCAAGAAGCGCCTGAGAGATATCCCAAGAGGCTCAAACAAAGCTCCAAGAGCCACTCATCAAGAGACCTCCTCCAAGATACCCCCAAGAGGCTTCAAGAGGATCCCCGAGGCACCGAAGACCACCCCCAGACACCCCGCGAGGTTTCCAAAACATTTAACTCCTAATGGAAATCCAGAGAAGAAGCTGTTGTTGTTATGCTCATCCTGATTTCTCCGCGTTATCCCTATTTCTCCTTCCTCCCCCTCCTCCTCCTCCTCCTCCTTCTCCTCCTCCTATCCGTCTACTTCTCCGCCACCTCCTTCCATCCTTCTCCCCCGCCCCCCGCCCCTCGAGAACCAGCGTAGCCAGCAGCGGCAGCAACAGCAGCATTCCTCGCTTCTGTGAGCTTTCCTCGGCATGGTGGTTTCTGGATGGGATGGCGGGGATACGCAAAACGTCTAGAATTCTTTGATCGACCTATCCGTCATCTTGTTTGGAGGGCACGCCTTCGTTGGGCCTGGAGTCGTCAGCTTGTGCTTCTCTGACGCCGGGGAGATCAGCATGGGCGCCTGGGCCAACTTCTGGTCGCCCCAAAATTGTTTAGAACATAAGAATACGTCGTCCTCGGACTCCGCCGGGCATTTCTTGTACACGTGGGGAATCGCGAGGCCCCATTCTGTCAAAGACATATGTTGAATATCGCGGCGGGGAACCATCCTGGGGGTTCTGCAACAGGCGCGCGCATCACCACCTCCACCTCATCATCCTTATCCTAATGCGCTTCTTCTTCTCATCCTCCTCCTCATTCTTCCTCCTTATCCTCATCCCCCCCTCCCTCAGCCCCCCACCTCCTCGCTCTCACCCTCCAGGGCCAGGTGCGTTTCGAGAGGCGCTGTCCTCTTCGAGTGACACACGTCGGGATTCCAGTGCGACGCGGCGATGCCGGTCATGTTGATGCCGAGAGGGTTGAAGTAGTCCTTCCAGTCCCAGGCGCCGGAGTACTCCTCAGGAGGAGTCAGAGGATTTAAATTCGTCCACTACTACTTCAGGCCCCTTGGTCAGACACCTCCAGCGGGGGGCGATGGGGAGGCGAGGGGTGGCAGGGAGAGGCACAAGTGGGCGATGAGTGCGAGCGAGAACGAGGAGGTCGGATGGGATGGAGAGAGGAGGAGGGAGGAGGGAGGAGGAGA